CCATTTTAAGAAGGGGATAAAATTGTAAGGAAAACACTATGTAACTTGTTCACAAATTCTAATTGAAAACATTCTTTACACATTTCTTAAATATATACTCACACATATATGCTTAGATTATTTTTTAAGATTTTATTTAATAATTCATAAGAAACACACACACCCACGCACATACAGAGAGGCAGAGACATAGGCAGAGGGAGAAGCAGGCTCCATACAAAAAGCCTGATGTGTGTGGACTCTGGGATCACGCTCTGAGCCAAAGGCAGACAGATGCTCAACTGCTGAGCCACCCAGGCATCCCTAAATGCTTAGATATTAAACTTGAATATTGAGTGGGAAGGTTATATTATGTGGATACCAGTAAAGTAAGATACAAATCTATTAGGATATATGTTGACTATATAAAATTGGAAACTTGTGTTTATCATCAAAAGTATACTGGCATTAGGATATATTCAAACATTGCTTGCTATAACAAGTCTCATCATTATTATATTCTGAGACAATAGTCCCTACAACAAGAAATCAGAAAGCTGTGTGGTCCTATAAACTGTGACTTTCTGTTGATTCATCCAACCAAATGTACTGATCCATTAAGGGAGCTGTAAGTAAACATTGATCTTTTTGTACCCCCAGCAGTTTCATCGCGCTCCTTTTTAATCATAGCACTCATTTTTAATTTATCTTCAGGACATTCAAGATTATATGTATATGAAATTTCAGCTGTTAGGGGAGCCAGCCTAGTTCTACAGCTATAGTATAAAATGGATAGAAAATGTTGAGTCAGTGTCAGTTCTGATTGGTGGGATGCTGACCTGGGCTATGTGAACAGAAGAGGGATCGTGAACTTCTTTCTGAGTATGTGCCAAGGACTGATGCCATTTCTGGCACCGATATGATATAAGACTATAGGAGGATAGTATGAAAGTATATGGCATTATAACTATTATCACCATTCTTCCACTATGAACAGTAAAAGATGTAATAAGAAATAATGATTACCTATGCTCGGACAGACTACTTACTATGATTGTTTCTGCTTAGAGGGACTAAGCAAAGAAATGGTCATATAGAATCACTCAGCAGGCTCTCTAACAACCACATGTTATATAGATTCACTTTTTGAACCTTTAAGTAATTTGTCCAACCTACATCTCATTAGTTTTCTTTTCATTTTGAGGAATAGCCACAGTAGATAATTGGTAAGTGAAAAGAAATTTAACTCAATGTAAGTAGAACTATATTTGTTTTCCTCCTCCACTTTTTCTTTGATTTTTAAAAAAGATCAGGTGCATTCAGAGTGGTATGGCCATAGACTATTTGTTTGACTTTTAAATAACAAATCTCAGGCATAGAAATGTTATGCCTAAAGATAATAATTACTTATTAATTGAACTGTAATTATAACATAGTGTTATTTCCTTATCAGGACATCTGACTCAGGAAGGGAGAAAGAAGGATAAAAGGAGAGAAGTGGCCTGAGTCATGAAGTTTAAACTATTCTGATGGTTTTAATGCCTCAATAATATTTTTTTCGAAGTGGAATCTAGGCTTTATTATATGTACCTTCTCATTACCAATCATTTGTATCTCTATCATAGGATAAATATTTTATTGCAATTGTCTGTTTACTTATCTCTCCTTGGCCCCCATGAACTCTTTGGAGTGGTTGGTATATAGTACACGCTTATTGAATGAATAAATGGTTCAATCCACCAATAAAGAGCTGGACTGACAGTTGAAAGAAGCTCTATCAATTTGGAAAAGAAAGTTTTAGCCAATGACAGAGATGTGACTCATCATTGTTTAATTTAGATTCTTTAATAAACTTTACTTCATGCTTACCCAGTAACAAAGGAAGGCAAAGGAAAAATTAAGATATTTTCATTTTCAATTGTAGTATATTGGAAACAAAAATAGCAATATACTTTTTTTCTTTCTTTAATATATTCTCACAGTTTGAGATACTGAGAACACCTGTTTAAATTACTGTGTAATTTTTTACCTTTACTTTCATTATTATATATGCTCAAGGCCTATTCATTTTTGAGGATTAATCTAAATATTACCTCAACAATGTTTGTTCAGGTTCATAATGGTAATTTATAGCTCCATCTAACATACTTCATATATTCTAGTGGAAAAGAAAGGAAACTTGTTTGATAACTAAGAATCTCACAAGTTATTCTTCTTTAAATGCAGAAATTTGTGCTTAAAGGGAAATTAATCAAATAATTTTAGATGGGGCAGCCCCGGTGGCTCAGTGGTTTAGCGCCACCTGCAGCCCAGGGTGTGATCCTGGAGACCCGGGATCTAGTCCTACTTCGGGCTCCCTCTGCCTGTGTCTCTGCCTCTCTCTCTCTTTCTGTGTGTCCCTCTTGAATAAATAAATAAAATCTTAAAAAAAAAAATTAGATGAATAGTTTATTCATCTTAGACAATACACAAATTTTCTTTGAGAATTTTTGTTTTAATAAGGGGAATTTAATGTTTATTAAACACAAGGAAAAAACCTAAATATATACCGATTAGTAATTTGGGGTTATTGTGTTTAAAGCAATAATTCTCTTAATTGCTTGTCAACCAGATGTAACACATCAAAAATCTAAACTTCCCTAAAACTTTGGAACATATTAATAAGAACTCATATACAGTGAAAAAACAATTTAGGTTTTAGGTGTAAATTAACTCAGATTCCTAAATTTTATAAGAATTGCTCCAAGTGCATCAGTGTGATCTCCTGGGATACATGTTCTTTATAATTTATCTGTTGGAATCATAAAGGTAGAAGTGTCAAGGTCAATTTTTGTATTTTTCATCTTGAAAGCATCCTTTTAAATATTTATGAAGAGACTAGTATGAAATATAAATAGCAGATGCACAAGTGTAGATTGGGATAAATAAATAATATAAACCCAAAATAAAGGAATTCAGAAAGAATGTAAACAGGCTTATTGAAAGAGTATTAGAACATATCTATGTATGTGCTGAAGTGGTCTAATAAATCACTTGAAAAGTTGGAGACATTAACATTAGACTTAGGCACATCAGTAGAACTTGAAGGTTGATCAAAAAAGGAACAGTAGAAGAACTAAGGTATTTACTAAATCTACCCTGACATTTTGAATGAAAAAAAAAATGTGAAAGAAAAAAAAATACTTACTATGAGTTATATATTCCTTAGAGAGGGCTTTTCCCTATGTTATAAATATTCCTTGAAAGTTCAAATGGTCTTGTTAAGGAATTACAATGTTTGGTCTTATTTATTTTATATTTTTCTTTAGTTTTTAAAAATTAATAGACTTTCCTGTTAAAAGTTTTACATTGACAGAAAAATTGAGCAGAAAGTATAGAGAGTTCTCATAGACTCTTTATCCCCCCCCCATTTCCCCTATTATTAGCATCTTAAGTTATTGTGGTATTTCATTACCATTGATGAACCAAAAAATTGATATGATAATAACCAAAGTCCAGTTCAATAACATTTAATATTTTACCAATTGAGATAACCATTTCCTGAATTTTTATGCTGCTATCCTATCTTTTTTGTGGGGGGAAGGAGTTGGGGGGGTCTTATAAGTGCTAAGAGAAAGCAGGTGCAGCTGGTGATGTCTGGCCTTCAAACAAGGAAAATGCAAAATGCATGGACCAAGTAACCAGAGACACCCACAGAATGGCAGACAACAAAAGCCACATAGCATATACTGATGAGGAGAGATAAGAAGAGTTTAATCTAGGGGAGGACAGAGATGTCCAGGAAGTCAGTTTATCTACTTCTCTAGCTATATCTGATCAGTATGGAAATCCTCCCTCTGCAGCTGAGATTACCTTTGCTGAGAAAATGGTGTGGGGAGTCCTAAATCTGCCTTAGCATTTACTTCAAAAAGACAAAATTGGTTGAACATTCAACTATAATAAATGTGAAATTCATACCTATTACATTAAAACGATATCCTCTGGAAGGTGAATTTCAAGATTGAAATCTGTACCTTCTAGGTACAAAAAAAGAAATACATAGTTAAAAATCAGACACTCTTTCTTTCTATGTTCTCCAATTATTCTACATCCTATCTTGAGTTTATTTATATAAATAGAAATATGCACAAGCCAAGAGAAATATCTCCCATGAAGTAAATGGAAGGTGAAAGAAAGAGTAATTATGGGAGACTTAACAATAGTAATATCTAGTTTGAACTTCAGAAACATATTGACACAGAATTGATTCCAGACTCCTCCATCTACTAGCAAATCTAGATTTTCTTATACATAATATGGGAATAATGTATACCCTGCATAATCCTGCAAGATATGAGGTATCAATGACAAAATGTATATAAAGCACTCTGACTAGTATCTATCACACAGGAAGCATTCAATCTCATTATTCATAGTCTTGTTCTTGCATTATTTTATGAATTGCTGTTTATAAAACTCAGTGTCTTAGATTTTTATCTATGGTTCTTATGGCCAACATAATCAACACATGGTAAAATTTAATCATGGTCTATGTTGAGAATTTCTTTTTATAGTTTCATACGTCCAATATAGACAAAACCTATGTTTATTTCTATTACAGCATGTCATAGAATGTGGGTTCCCATTATTTATATAGAGAGATGAATTCTATCATCAGTCACTCTTTTCCAACTGGCATTACTTTAACTCAGGGAAAAATAATTAGAAAGAAGCTTTAGAGTTTTTAATAGCTGTTTGTGAACCTCAGATGTAACTAAACAATTTTCCAGATTTACCTATTAAAAAATGGCCCATGGATGTATTCGTGGATAGAGAAAATCAATTGATAAAGGTAAATAATCCTATTGAAACATTTACTATTTATTTTGGATACAACTGTTTTAAACAAACTGATTAGTTCCCTTTATGGTTTCATCCTTGAAAGCACAAACCATTTTGTTCTTTGTCATTGTTGCATGACATTCCATTTGACATTTGGCTTATTTTTAGCCAGACTATCAAAGTATTTTCAACTGGACTGTCATTGCACTTGAACTTGGAATCTTGTAACCTGAGGAACTGCACTCGGAAAAAGAAGAAACTTCTAACAAATGGGAAATTATAAATCTAGACCAACCCAAACTTGTACTGGTAATTATTCTTGTATCCTTAAATGTAGCATGGTTGAATAGTAGTTACAGATAATTAACATTTCATTGGACTGTTAATTTTTACATGGAGGATATGACTGTTGAGAAGATTATCTGAACTTAAATTATTTTTCTCTGAGGGATTTTTAGAGAAAATAGAAAATTTCTTACAAAAGCATATTAGTTGTTAGGTATAATGTTCCTAGGAATACTGATGAATAGAAATTTTAGAATTATATCTTAAATATCCGGCATTTGAAATCTAAAAACTTTTGTCTAGAATCTAGAGATTGCTATAATTAAAATGCAATAAAATCAAATGAAATAAGTAAAAAATATTCTGTGTAAATATATTATTCAATATCAAATGGGTTCTTAATTACTACAATTCAATATGATTGCATTTTAGTTATAAGCATCTGCATTTTAAGCTCACAATCAGTAATTTAAATATTGTAGAATTTAGAATAAGAGACTGAGTTTTAATTACTTGTATGTTATGATCTGTGTCTATATTTGTAAAACACAGCTATGACTCTGTCCCATTTGTTTTTCTTTACTAGATGAATGGAAGAAGAAAGTCAGTGAATCTTATGTTATTATAATAGAAAGATTAGAAGATGACCTGCAGATCGAAGAAAAAGAACTTGCAGAACTAAGGCACATATTTAGGTAAAGTTCTCAGAGTTATTATTTTTGGTATGAATATCTTTATTAATTATCTTGTTTTTAAATACATCTATATTTAAAAATGCAACCCATATAATCTCAGATATTTCTAGGCATGTTAAGTCCTAAAATATAAGGTTACCCCTTCTTGACCATTCATATAGCCCATAAAATGCAAATATTTTATCTCCTTAAAAAATGATTTGCATGCTCCCATTGCTAAAGTTAAAAAAATAAAAAAGAGAATCAAATAAGGGCTGACTTTTGAATACAAGCTGTTGCTGGTCTGAATAATCTTCCCTGGAATTAGATCTTTCTTGTAGGCCACGCCAGCAACAAAAAGCAAGGCTTCTCTTCCCAAATGGTGATAGAATATTGCCCATGTTGTTCTTTTTGAACTACTAGGGTAAGTCCAATTTTAACAAACCTTCTGGTCTCTCCACATTTAAAGGCTGCCCATTAATGGAACTGACTATCATTCTGCCCCTGAACAATCATATAACAATGTGTAATACTGGCTTCAAGCTTTCTGTGGGTTTTGTTCATGATATCAAGAGAAAAATAATCTAGCATAGTGTCACAACCTTGGAAGACACAAAATGTTCAGAAAAGAGAGGCAGGACCCTTATATACACAAACAGTGTTCTGGTGAAATGGAATCTGGCATTGAGAAACTAGTTGCATTTTAGAGGGTTGGCTTAAGTTAGCTGCCTGGCCAAGGAGAAGTTCCATGTAGGCCACTTAGCTATGTTGACTTTTACCTGAGTTATTCATCTAATGTAGTCATGACAAAGAACTCCCTCTATTTCACTTGGAAAACAAGTGTGAAGCAGTGGCCAAATGGCATATTTTCCATGAGAAATTTCAGCTACAGTAAATATGCAAAGTTCATGTAACTGGCAATTAAAGTTATTCATGTATAATACAGTTTACATGAAATTGTCAGTGGGTTTCAAGTGATTATAATTTGGGAAATAGTTAATTCCCTGTGTTAATTTGGCCCAAAATGATAAATCACCATTGATACTAGTGATGAGATACCCTGGGCTGACTTTGGCAAGTACTTGAACATGACCAGTTATGGGGAAAACATCTCAAACTCCAGGAAAGATTTGACTGGAACTGGTATAATAGATTTATACATACATATTTATTTTGCTGTAAAAGAGATAAAAATGCAGAACTTAATCATAAGTTGTCTAGCTCTTATTGACTCAGATAAATATGCTGCATGAAATGTGGTTAAACTGAAGATATTTTCTTCAACTTCATGAATTCAAAACTTCATTTATTAATTTATGTTTTTAATTTAAGACATACTGTGCAAGTATGTCAAGGCTAATTTAAATGGACATATCCCTTTTAAGGATTAAGCTTGACAATGGGGTTGAGATGTAAGTTTTTTCTTATACTCCCTCAACAACAGACCATTGTTTTAATAGGTCTTGCTATAGCTGACTTTTCCTACATTTCCACTGTCTCAAGAAATCTGACCTCTTTTTTACTAATTAATATTGGGATGAGAAGCAAGAAATAGTGTCAGGGAGACTATAGTTCAGAATGTATTGTGCCAACTATATTCAAGTTGTTATTCCAGACTCATCATATATAAGACATTGGGTAATTTTCACCGTGACTCTGTCTGGTAAATATGAATCCTGATGGATGATAAATTAAGGACTAAAGACGTTGTATCTTATCAAGATCATATGATCAGTAAGTGCTGGAACTCTGATTTATGGCAAGGTCAGCCTGACTCCATAGAGAGAAGTCTTCCTACACTTCCTACACACTGTTCGTGTTCCAGAAGTTTATAATCCAGTTTAGGGGAAAGACATATATAAATATCTCACAGAGGACAGTCTACAAGTGAGAAATGGAAAGAAAAATAAAATAGTTTCAAATAAAAAAAAGATTTGGAGGGCTTGATTTATTCATCAATTTTAAAAAGCATTCTACATAAAAGGCATACTTAAGTAAAGATATATAGGCAAGAATGGATGAGTACCATGGAAAGTCTGGAGGAGCCAAGAAAAACTAATGTCTTGATCATTTTATCTAAGTTGAGTAAGAAAGTAATACCAGTCAGTATAACGGTTTACAGTGATACAAGCATAGTTTTAAACCCAGTTTCTTTTATTTACAAACTATGTATCCTTGGATATATTATTTAATCTCTCCGAGGCTTGTTTGCATCTGTAAAATGAAATTAATAATAACAACCTCATGGGATATTTGCAAAATGATGTCAATTAAATGCTGACTAGAGGGCCTAACACACAGTAGGCATGGAATAATTGAAAGTTTCTATTATCGTGATTGGATAAATAAGGGCAGTTAGAAAGACTGAAGACTGTTACCTACTGGAAATAACAAATAGTTTATTAAAAATTAGGAAGCAAGAAAGCTAGGATTAAATGTTTTAATATGAACAGGATGTTTTCAAAAGTAAAAATATAAAATGTTAGAACAATTCAGGATGATGCCAAAATCTGAAATATATCTTTTAAAGATTGTGATCAAAAGGGATTTGGCTACAGTACTAGAAGGCTCATCAAAATGGATGTGAAATTCCCTAAGAATAATAGTAGGGCATTTTATGGGGAAGAAGACTGATAGCCTGGCATTGAAGCTGTTAAGGAAGTGACAGAAATGTCCCATTAGCCAAAAGCAATAATAATGAAGCTGAGGAGAGGATTACCGCTAGCCTAGACTCATGTTTCTCCAAGGGCTAGGAACCTTCCACAAGAGAGTAACCAGCAGTGCTTGCTAAAATTTTAGATTCCGTGATTCCAGCCCATATCAAATGAATCAGAATCTCTGGAGATGACTTCCAGAACCTGAATTTATAATAAGCTCCTTAGGTAATACTTTTGCATGCTAAAATGATACTTCTGTTAAAGTTTAAAAACTACTTCTAGAAAGATATTCAAGTTGCAGTGAAAACTCTGCCTCAGGTGATATTGGTAAAGGGATGAGAAACATGAGAACAGAAAGCAGGCAACTAGTATGGCCTACAGAGATTCAAGGAGGTAAGCAAACAAACAAACATAAATAGAGTACTCTGTCTCATTCCATCAAGACAGATTGCATCATTGGGAAAGAAAGTCAGTCATGCCTAGGGCAAAGGTCTGAGGGTTTTTCTTTTCTCTAGAATAAAATGATGGATGACAAGGAAAGAAAAGAATGGGGTGCTGAGAATATAAATTGTCTTACCCGTTGACTCATCAAAATTTTAAGGCATTTGGGAATATTAAACATAATGTTGTATGAGATCACATTTGAGAATCTAGAACATTTTGGATGTTAAATAAATGTTAGAATCTTTTTCTCTCTCATTTTTACCCATGCCTTATATAATGCAAGGAATACTTCCGTGATAAACAACTGTGTTATGCCTCATGACATCAGGCTTTCTCTAAACATGTAGACAAGAGGAAAATGATATAAGATGTCCAAAAAGAAGCATTTGACACCAGAGTCACAGGTGGAGGATCACTGGTATAAACATGGATTTAGCAGATATTTGGAGTTTTTATTTGTTTTTACTTGCCAATAAATTTCTTTTTTTTTAATTTTCTTTTATTTATTTATGATAGTCACAGAGAGAGAGAGAGAGAGAGAGAGAGAGAGAGGCAGAGACACAGGCAGAGGGAGAAGCAGGCTCCATGCACCGGGAGCCCGACATGGGATTCGATCCTGGGTCTCCAGGATTGTGCCCTGGGCCAAAGGCAGGCGCCAAACCGCTGCGCCCCCCAGGGATCCCGCCAATAAATTTCTTTATGGGATTCAAGGTAGATTCTAATTCCATTCATTAAAAGAGATTTTCACACCATTGTGCACGTAGGCTTCTGTTGGCTCACACAGATTATCTCCCAGTATAGGCTTCACCCAAATATGGTATACAGCAAGATAGTAATAAATTTTAAAATGATAAGAAGAACTAAACCATTATGTTTCCTAGGCCAATATATAGCAGCTTTGGGATGAAAGCTTGATAGGTAAAGAAGGAAGATGGAAATGGAGTATTCTCTCATCTTCCACAATAAAGTTGCATTCACTCATAATTTTGGATATGTGTTGAAACAGATGAAACATAGGAAGAGATGAAGAAAAAGAGAAAATGGAAGAAGGAGAACCAGAAGTGCTACATTGGAATGCCATTGTCTGTATTTCCTCCTTTGTGCTTTCCCTAATCTTTGTTTATCAGTATAATAGCTCTTACTATGAGGTGTTATTTAATCCATTTACAGGTCTGTTAAACCACTAGTATATGTGTTCACTAAAGGCAGCTTCTTTGTCTTATTTAGCTTTATTTATATTTGTGTTTATTTGTAATATTTATTTATATAGCACTGGAAAGGAAAACTAACAACTTAGTGTCTACCATATACAGCATACTACTAGGTATTTTAATACACATTAGCTTCTAGAATCCTAACTGTATATGCATAAAGTGCTTTAGCACAGTGATTGGCACATGGTAAACACACACAAAAGATGTTAGTAAAAACTAATCATCATTGTTTATGTTAACAACCTCTGGGGTAGGCATTCATTGCCCTTGCCATTTTATATCTAAAGAAAATGCAGCTAGTCAAATTAGTGAACATGGAACATTTCCCAGGATTGATCATATCCTGGGTCACAAATCAGGACTCAACCAGTACAAAAAGATTGAGATCATACCATGCATATTTTCAGACTACAATGCTATGAAACAAAGTCAACCATAAGAAATTTAGAAGGACCACAAATACATGGAGGTTAAAGAATGTCCTACTAAAGAATGAATGGGTCAACCAGGAAATTAAAGAAGAAGTTTAAAAATACATGGAAGCAAATGAAAATAAAAGCATCAGTTAAAAATCTTTGGGTTGCAGAAAAGGCAGTGCTAAGAAGGAAGTACATAGCAGTAACAGGCCTTCCTCAAGAATCAAGAAAATTCTCAAATACAAAATCTAACTGTACAAATTAAGGAGCTGAAAAAAGAACAAATGAAG